TTAACTACCAAAATATGCAACTCATAGATAACCACAAACTTCACTTTTGTTAACTATCAAATGAATTAACTTTACATGTTATAAACAATGCAAATAAACAGTAGTTAAAGCATGTGGATCAATTGTGTGTTACAGAATTTGATTATTGAGGCGATTCCTTTTAAAAACTAAATTAGTTAAGATAAAAAAATGCATATACTGACTCAAGAAAATCAGTTTTAATTTAGAATTTGATTATTGGGGCCATTTTTACCTACCTGTCATATGGGGCCATTTTTACCGGGGCCATTTTTTCCGGGGCCATTATTTCCGGGGCCATTTTTTCCGGGGCCATTTTTTCCGGGGCCATTCTTACCGTACACCTTTTAGATGTAATCAAAATAAATCGCCAAGGAGGTAGCAGCAGTTCCCACGGCTCCCCCTGGATACGTCTCTAAATCTTTTTATTGCCGGTTTCTAATATGTGGTCTAAAAGCACAATTCTGGGCCATCTGGATATGCCATTGGCCATACTAAGCTATAAAACACGTACCCATTACCCCTACTGGGAATTGTTATTCCCCGGCTCTAAACGACTCCTTGGTTTGTACCTCCTGTCGGTATGCGTTGACCGGGGTGTAGACATGCATTAGCCGAATGTAGTACAATTGCTTATCAGTGTGATTAATCTGCTCGATAAACAATTTTAATTACTTGTGCAAATATAAAGATGGGGGTATGGGTAACCCACATCTTTATACACGACTTTTCATGGATCTCGACCTGCTACGTAGGCCCTCTTTAGGCTAGATGCGCCTAGACGGTTGGAAGCGACGATCGAAGAAAAACGGTTAAGCAAGCCAAGGACTTCGCTAACTTCCATTCCTCATTATTAAAATCCTTCCATTGATGGGCACTGTCTAAAACTTTCTTCCAGCTTATCTCTGAAAAGATTGTAACCTTTTCGTCTGCAGTTGGCTCAACATGAATTACACAGGAGCCAGTGGGCTTCCATGACGGCCTAGGCTCGGACATGACACCTTGTTGTTTGTTGTTATTTCGCGACGTCATCAACGAGTACAATACATTCATTATCCACCATCAACTAAACTGCCTTAAAGGGGAAAAAAATGGTTCCTCTGGATCGACCTCTAACCAACATCGGCCCAACGGTTGTAACCAACCTTCACTAACGTTTACCGACGACGTCGGGCCAACAAAGTACTCCGAAGTTGCGACAACATCCGTTATCACATTCTAATATTTACAACCTCTAACCAACGTCGAGCCAACGGTTTTAACCAACCACCATTTAAAACGTTTACCGACGTCGGGCCAACAACGTCTACAATCGCATCTAATATTTACAACTTGTAGCAGTAGGGCCTACTCCATCTGTAAATTTGTATATAGGATCTGTGTATAAATAATACCTTGCATTTTTAACTAATATCCCAACTTCATGGGTTATACACCAAGCTTAGGAAGGTCATTTACCTTAAGGTCATGTGACCACACATCATTTGGGAATGTTGATGAGTTTCCCAGGTACTAGACAAGGACAGGCAATTACTAATCCTTATTGGTCAGATGGTATGAAAGGTGATGCTATATCACATACATTTGAACTTTTACAGGCACTCCTGAGTTTGTCCTCCCTGAGTACACATTACTTTCGCTTTCTATCAATTTGTATATATCATCAACTTGTTTCTCAAGTGTTTTTGTAAATACGCTTTTCACTTGGAATAAATTGTACAGTTCTACATATAAATTAGTGTGGTGTATTTTTATCATCTCATCGTACACTTACACTAAAGTGGTGACCCCGACGTTTCAGTACACACTCTTTGCATCAAGTTAATAATGGAAGGACAACAGTAACAAGTTCAACAGCAACAACCTGTCGTATCTGCTTCAGATGCTGCACCGCCTGCAATATCATCAGTGTCTGGGCCAACGGTAGTACCCAACCATCGTTTTACTGTATTAGTTTGCTGATGTCCGGCCAGTAACAAATCGTGACGTTGTACCAACGTCCGTAGTCAGACTCAATATTTACGACGGCTTACCTACGTTGGGACGACATCGGAAAGTCGACAAATATATTAATACGTTGGGCCAACGTGAAATTCCAATGTTGGTTTAACGTTACCTCTCCGACCAAATTTTGCAAACAAACACTAACGTCAGATGTCCGACCCCGACCTGCCAACGTTTACCAACGTTGGGCCAACGTCGCTTTGCTAGCTGGGCACAGACCACCCAAACCAATGACTTCCGCCTATCTATAAATCCATCAAAAACTACCGTATTCTTCCCACCAGTCCCAGCCTAGCTGTAAAACAAAAAAAAAAAAAAAAAAAAAAAAAATCTGTTTGAAAATGATAATGCGTTATCTGGTTTTGTTGTAAGTGTTATATAAAAATAAACCTTTTGTTTAGATTGGGAAAGTCCGTCAATCGAATGTCCGTCCCTATACAAGGATACACAGATGATGGATCAAGATTTGCTTTTGTAACTTGGAACATCACGCTCAATGATAATATTGCAGTTGTTCATTGTATGTCCAACGATTCCCGTGTGGTGCCGACTAATTCAACACTAAACCACACCAATATCACCTTAGCACAGAATGGATTTTTTTCTATTGGTACAAATCTGGTTGATTATATAGTGACAGACATGTATGCAAACATAGGAAAGTGCTTGCTTACAATCATCGTCACAGGTAAGGCTGCTGGTAAAACGTGTATTGCTTTCCTTTTAAAACACACCTTTATTTAATGACGTCGTCCGTCTGATAAGACATTAAGCCGTTGGTCTCTGCACGCTAAAGATATTTGCTTTGAAGTTAGGCTTTACTGTATTTTTGATTATGTATTATTAAGCTTCTTTCATTTGACTTTAGTTCATTGTCCATTGCTTTTATGCCCATGTTAGTGGTGTTCCACTGTTTCAAATGTGTTTATCCAAATTAATTATTATTTAATACCATTCAATAAAAGAATTATCTTAAATTCAGTTAATTGATCAGTGAACTGCCTGTTCATGTGCACTATCTGTTTTGATATGAACATACCACAGTGGCGGATTTAGATGGGGCTTAAGGGGCGTACGCCACCCTAGTATTTTTTTTTTGTAACAAGTAATTTTTGTAAAGCTTATCAGACAATTACCCTGCTAAATACTAAATATAATTCAACTACAAACTTAAATTAATTATGGTGTTAGAGGTTTAAGGGGGATTTGCTCCTTGCACCCCTACCAAAGCTCTTTCCTGAGACTTACTCAGTTCGCTCATTCACGCCCCTCTTCATTACGGGGCTGGATCCGCCGCTGTACCACACTGGAAATACAAAATCTAAATAAATAATCATATTATTTATGTTATTTAGATAGAAGTATGTTTATTTTAACAACATTTTCTTATATAATGTACGATCAACAGGATAGTAATAACTGAAACATGATCGAATGAATTAAAAACATACGGTAACGAACTTTTTTCGTAGGCCTTAGCGTAGTAGGGTCTCGAGTGCATAATAGGAGAGACATTTTATCATTATTTGTTTCTTTTTATCAGACAATGAAAGCCCAACGATAATTTGTCCGAGAAATTTTTCAAATTATTACGACCACATATTTGGTTTCCATCGCCTTGTTGCTGATCACGGGCGGCCCTACGCAACGGTCACATGGTCTCCTCCAGAGGTTTACGACAACAGTCAAGATTCTGTTACGTGGGAGAGCTTTCCGTATAAATCAGGGGATACCTTTCCTCTTCGAGAGTTCCCGCCATACAATTTGAAATTTACTGCATCAGATCAGTTTGGCAATAACAGATCTTGCTACATATATTTTATTGTAATCGGTAAGCAACTTTTGACTGAAGTAGTCCTTGTTTGAACTCATATATGGATACCGACATGCTGTATATGACAAAGTATAATGTTGAATTTTATTAAACAGTACCTCTTCATAATCGTAAAATAATTAAAATAATATCATATAATATCCAACTTTTAATCATTTGGTTTAATACTCTGTGGCCAATCATCATCAATGTACATATTGTTATTTCAATTCACATCAGATATTGAACCACCGATTATTACGTGTCCAACCAACATTACAAACTACTACGACACATACTACGGAATTATCAGAGCTGTAATTGATCCGGGTTCTTCTACAAGCACAGTCACTTGGGATTACCCTTCTCTATCTGACAACAGCGGAAGTAAAGTAAATGTGACGACATCTCATCAATCCGGTGAACGTTTTCCGCCGAAGTTCTATCCACCATATGAAGTGGAGTACATTGCTGAAGATGAGTCGGGAAACAGGAATTCCTGCAAATTTTACTTTCTCGTTACAGGCAAGTTTCCTAGTGGCTTAATAAACTAGCGTTTTAACAATTAACCAAACAATTATTATAGTCATCTCGTGTTTTAAATTACATAGTTTTTGAAAATACCCGCCTTTGTTGTTTTGGAAAAGGCAATAGTTCATAGATTTGTTAACATTTTCGATTGTGTCTACTACGTTAATATACTCTTCGGGTTGTGTAACTAATAAATTAAACTCTATAATTATTTCTCTGTACCTGCTATTGGATTTCCGTAGCATTATTATGGTACTGACTTTTTCACAGTATTGGTTGATAAGTTTTTGAGAAACTATATAACATTTTTCTCTCTTTTTAAATACCCTTTACCAGACGGCACCATAGATTGCTACTCATGGGTGGAATTTATCATAATACAACACATATTCTCAAGCCGGTTTACACTAGGCGAATTTATTCGCGCAAATCGAAAGCGTCGGCTGGCATCGCAAAAAGTAGAATAGTTTGAGCTTCTGATTGCGCTGAGGGAAAAACTCCGATAGAATTTTGAATGCGTATGCTCACGAACCGCCGCTTAAGATTCGCGCCGAATAAATAGGCTTAGTGTAAAACCGGATTTATCTCGACAACAGCCAAGCTGTTGGTTAAAGCCCCATTTCCGGCAAATTCACTAAAAAAAACTGTCAGAAAAAAATGCATAAGCATTACTTTAATTATTATAAACCAGGTCATTTATTGGCATAAATTTTCGTTTTGCGCCGGAGAAAAATGAACAGTAGAGACTATTTCCACTTAGAGGATAACCGTTTTCTCGACAACTTCTTTGTTACTAGGCAAATTGAAGGGCTGTAGATCGCATCGGCTGGCATGCTCTCGCCAGTTGCTTTTTGTGTATAATTTATACAGTCGAGCGTTCGAAGTAGGCTGTGTAATTGTTTCGCGAACCTGCCGCTTTCTTCTTTATTTTTAATATTTTTTTATATGTCCACCAATGCCAAGAACTTTCATGATAAGATATTTTATTTCATCCCACAATTAATTGAATAAAAGCAGGGCCTAATTAATCTGATTTAGGTCAACTAAACTGTTTACCTCGCCGTCGATACAATCGTAAGCGATACATAAAGTGCGCCCTCTCTAATGAGATCAGCTTTTGTACCTCGCACCTCGCACACCGTGTTCGATCGAGTGGGCTTGAGATAAGTTTGTTTAATTGTCAAAATCCTGGTCAGAATCGTGTTCATGCTTGACAACAGAACCTAAATCGAGGTGAGGCTAGGCCCAGTCTAACAGTGTTGTTAGTCAAATCAGGGAACAGTGAAATTACTGTAATGTCACTGTTCCCTGGTCAAATGTTTCCGGCGCCTACTGTATTTCTTCACCAATAGATTAGCTATCGGAAAATCAAAAGTAGAAACTCATCCGCGTTTATTTTTATTTATTTGTTTAGGCTTTTTTGTGGAATATAAAAAAAGAAATTAAATTTTGGGTCTTATTTTGCTTTTTTTTAATGTTTATCAATGTCTAAATTCAATCTAGCAATTTCTTAAAAATCATTCTAACATAAGCCTATATAAAACTCAGATTTTTCTTTAAAAAATGAAATTTTACCGAAAATGAAGCTTCAAAGTAATCCATATCAATTAAAGAATACTAGATATATTCTTATTCAGAATCATTGCTGGTATATAAGTTTTATAAATAGGCTTAACAATTATGCTAAATCATATTATATATTTCTTCTAGTTTTCTTTTACCATTACTGATAATTATGCTTAGACTTAGGCATATACGGTATATGTCTGCTATTAACCTTCGAGACTGAAAGTCTAAATACAGTTCTTATTAAAAAATTTATTACGTTTTAATTTAAGTTTAAGTTAAGTATTGTCGTATTAGACTTTACAATACCATCAATCGTTAACTATATACACTATTATCAGTGTGAGAATAATATACTAGACTTCTAACATTTAATACGTCATGAAATCAAAATGAAAGCATGTAATTTAGTTTCATATAAAGAGCTAGGTTCTATTGCAAAATAAGTTTTTTTATCACGTGGGTTTTTACACTAATTAATATATTCTGGATTGTTTTAAAACGCCATATTTGTCTACATTATTAAAATCTGGGCCTGAAGACTATATCGTTGTCTATGTTTTGTTTTGTTAGTAGAACTTTAAGTTCTTGTTTGCAGTGTAGTCATTGTTAACTTATTTTATATTACTTTTATTTTGACATTTTTAAATGGCTTTTAAATGACGCATACCTTCAACTTTCGTTGAAATAACTTCAACTTTCTTTTTTCTCAAAATGTCCAACTCAAAGAGCTCAATCACCAAGCGCATAGAGGCTTTTTCGCATGATGCGTTCTACAAATCCAACTATTATTATTATTATTATTACCTACAGTGATACACACGTTTCTCTCCAACAGTGCACAAGCCAACAATCTTACGGGCACACAAAACTACAAACGTTACACTAACACCCACTGCAGTATTTTCATATGACTAGTAGTCATTTCGAGAAATCATGGAACAGCAAATAGACTACCGTAAATATAGTAAACCTACATCAAAGATTAAGAGAGCAACAGTAATCCATCGTGCGTACCATAATACACACAGCAAATGAACAAAAACACATTATACACATGTACACTGCAGACAGCAACATACCCATCGCAACATGGACAAGAACCGTGCATTCAGGTGGCACCATTGTATCTGTCGTTGTGGTATCGCTAGGATGTGCTTAGCTTAGAGAGGACAAGACGTCACCGAAGAATGTTGGTGGGAACATTACCCAGCCCAGAATTCCTGGGAGTGGTCCATAAGGGCAAAAGCCTTAGAAGTTCCGATAATTTATCATATCACACATCATTTCTTTATCCCTGAAGAGTTGTATTGAGCTTTGCGATGTGGAAAGCAGACTCTTTCCCTGGCCTCTGATTTTATTGACGCCACCACTGTCATATCACAGCATGAACAAAAGTCATGTATTCGAGGTGCAACACAGGCATCCATTTTGGAACAAAGAAAGCATCATTGGGGTTGGAACATTATTCGTACATCTTACACTGTGTCCGTGATGCAACCTTGCAAAACATGCTGCAACATTTTTCTTCAAACAATATTACACCACAGACTGCAACATTTGAATAAAGACATGGCCATTAGGACAAAGGCCGCAGTCGTGTTCTAAACTTTCTCTGTATATCCAACTTCAAAGTTGAATGACATAATACAACATTGCCTTAAAACAATAACATTCAATCTCAGATTGCCACATTAGAACCGTAATTTAGATAGATATAAAAATATATCCGACATTAGTATAGGCCTATATAAAATCATATATACTTTTAGGAAAGTCGTCCCAGTTCTGAAAAAGGCGATCAACACTCATCGCAAATTATACAGTAGGCTATTGAACTATAATG